GAGGTGCGGCCGGACAGGAAAATTACCTTTGCCATAATAGATTTCAGCGGTGCAATCTGGGAACACGTAAGACCACTGAGAAGGGGATTGCAGTAGTCAAGACGAGAAAGAACAATGGCATGGACCAGCACCTTAGCTGCGTCTGGTGTTAAATAGGGGCGGATGCGAGCTATGTTTTTGAGATGGAAGCAGCAGGATTTGGCGATCGACTGGACATGAGGGATGAAGTAGAGGTCGGAGTTAAAGAGAACACCTAGGCAGTGAGCCTGCGAGGTAGAGGTGATGGTGGCGTCGATGACTTGGATGGAGATAGACATGGGAGTAACAACACTTGAGGGAGGAAAGACCAGAAGTTCTGTTTTGGACAGGTTGAGTTTAAGGAAGTGAGCAGCCATCCAATTGGAAATTGCGGAGAGGCAGTCAGACACGAGTCAAGATGGGCGGAGAGATATCAGGAGAGGACAGGTAGATTTGCATGTCATCTGCATATAAATGATAATGGAAGCCAAAGGAGCTGATGAGTTTACCAAGGGAGGCAGTATAGATGGAGAACATTAGGGGACCAAGGACTGAACCTTGGGGGACACCAACAGAAAGGGATTGGGGAGAAGAGGCAGAGCCAGAGGAAAAAACACTGAAAAAGAGTGAGAGAGTAGTATCTCATAGACCGAGATTATGGAGAATGAGAAGAAGTTGTTGATGATCAACAGTATCAAAGGCAGCAGAAAGATCAAGGAGAATTATGATAGAGTAATGGCCGCGAGATTTAGCAGCGATTAAATCATTGGATACTTTGGTCACAGCTGTTTCAACAGAGTGCGGAATCCAGACTGAAGTGGGTCAAACATTGAATTGGATTTGAGGAAGTCTGTCAATCTCGAAACACAACTCTCTCAAGGATCTTGGCAGCAAACGGCAGTAGCGATATAGGGCAGTAGTTGGATGGGGAGTTGGGATCGAGGTTGGGCTTTTTCAGAATTGGTGTTATGGTTGCATGCTTGAAGGGTGAAGGAAATGTACCTGAGGAAAGGGAGAGATTGAAAACTTTAGTGAGAAGAAGAGCAAGAGAGTGCGACAGAGTGTTGATGAGATATGAGGGAATAGGACTGAGGGAACAGGTGGTGGGGCGGGAGGACTGGAGCAGAATGGAAACTTCCTCTGTTGTAGTAGGTGCGAATGAGCATAGAACAGTGGAGTGAGTGGGGTTGGGTGATGTATTGGAAGGGGAGGGAGAGGGATTACAGCTCTCTTCCCTGATTGTAAAAATCTTCTCAGTGAAGTGAGTTGCTGGGCTGGAAAAAATCTCTTTGCCAGACTATAAGTATAGTCTGGTAGAGCATGCTCTGTATTGCCCCTGCAGTCTTTTACTCTAGCCCTAGACCTCTAGTATAACCCTGACACAGTGTCCACTGACAATTCTACTTTTGGTCACCAAGCCAGACTCCCAAGCAGGTCCCCATTGTAGGGAAGCCACACAGGTTTGTCAAGGTGTGGTCCATGTGGACCCTTCTGGATACCCAGACCAGATTTCAAGGAACAGACTGTGCCACCACTAGAGTCTGATTTGTCATTAGAAGAGGCAGCTTGTAGTGTCCGTGCGTACGGAGAATTGTGTGCATATATTGTACTGTTAAATGTTGTATGGATGGCCTCCACCTATCTTTACATTGAAGCCTTCACCAACATCTATTTTGGTGTGTAATCCACTGCTCTCTTGAGGCAGGAGTTGCAGTGCACCACTGCAAGCTGAGGATGTGCCCAGGATTTAGGTGAGGAGTGGGTACTCTACTGGTGGAGACCAGGATAGCCCTCACCAGTCCAAAGGAATGGGATATGGGACTCACCCACAGTCCATGAAGTGGAATCCTATCAAGGAGGTTGGCCACCACACTAATTCAGGTCCATGCTAGGCTGCAAGTTGGAAAGAATGGAGCTGCACAGCATACAACAGAAGTGCACTTTGATTCACAGACTCTGTTAAGGACAGGACATGGTAAATCAGCAATGTTGCAATTTCTGTAGATAGGAAAATTTGAGTGAGGAGGTTACACTATCTGTGTTTGCCAAGCCCCACCCCATAACTTAATAATATATATTTGAGGACTACATTTCATTTTGCATACCCAGTGGAAGAAAAGAAGTGTATTCATAATTTTGGTAGTAAATTGGTTAACCTCTTGTATTCATTGGTTTAATTCTGTTTTGCGTTGCTTATCATCCAGCCATGGTTTTCACGCAAACAAATTTCTCTACTTGGATTATGGTAAGTCCTTATGCATCTGGAGGGTCTGTACATGTTGTGTTCTGACACTCCAACTCTATGCAACAACCCATATAGATCAAAAGCACAGGGCTTAATACTAGTAACCAAGTAGGGGTGAGAAGGTGAGGTAATAAGGACTCAGCATCAACAGGAGACCATCAAACAAATCAAATCATTTCAATGAATTGATTTGTCTGGTATGGAATCCCTTTCAAATTTTTTCTTTTAATTCATGTTTAATGAGCACCAATCAAAAAGGCAGAGTCTGATAAACAGTATAGCGGTAATGGAAAAAAAATCAGTGCATCAGCGCAGTTAGTGATAGAATAATAGTGAGGGAAAACATTGTGATAATACAAAAACAGAGATATTCATCAGAATATTCATATTTACAACAAGAAAAAAACAAGCGAAAATAAATCAGTTTTTCAGACCTCCAGATTTTAGTCTCTATAAACCAGTGTATAAATGATCAACACTCAATGAACAGAGGAAAGAGGGAAAATAAATTAGAGAATGCAGAAAGCAAAGAAAAAGAGGAGAGAGAAAAAAGAAGGGGAAAAGGAAGGAAGCAAAATGGGCAGATAAGGAATAGAGATGGGGAAGGGATCGGATCACACAGGACACCCTATGAAAGGACTCAATTCGTTTTTAAACTGATCGAAGGGGTTCTTTGCTGGACAAATCGACTTGCCGTCAAATGAAATGATTTGTTTAACAAAGAGTTGAACGGATGCACATTTTTATTATTTATCTTGTTATGAGCAGATTAAGTAAGAAAATGGTATTTGTGCTTCTAAGAAATATTTCAGAACCTGTGCAAAATAAAATGTATAATTTAGAATACTTTTTTCAGTACTTAATATTTCTGAAAACGATTAATGGATAAATGGAAAATCACATTTGCATACATTTACATAATTTAATGTTTTAAGTATGCTTGAGAACCATTTTTTATTCACTTCAGGGGGCCATTTAATAGCTGGTGGTAATAGCAGTAGCACCAAAAAACATAGAGTTTTAGAGATGCTGAAAGATAATTTTACGTCTCTGCTGATTTAAATCCCATTCTTGCTGTAAGGTCACGCACAATGTGTCAGAATATGGCAAAAGCAACCTTTTCTGTCAACAACATTTTTGCAGTGAGATAAACAGCTCTAAACAGGAACCAATGACCAAATGACATCAAAAGCAATAAGCAAAGTAACTAGCAACTGATCAGAATGCCCGGCGCACGTTCATTTGACAGGTCAGTTAATCTGAATAATGTCCATGGGAAAATATTTGGGGACAAAGTTGGACAAACAAAAAATGTCACAGCAATGTGCCATAATAAATTGAATTTCCCCACCATTTGGTACGGGGCCGTCTTTAATGTTGATTGAACCCTGGGCAAAGCATTTGCTTGAGCCCCCTGGAGCCCACCATCAGGAGTGCAATCACACCCTCCTCCATAACACAGTGGCAGAACTAAACTCGAGAGGTGCAAGAATGCATTGACAGCTGGGGCTCTATCATTTACCCATGTTTGCAGGTTTGTATTTATCAGTAAGCAGTGTTTGTGTGTTTGAATGTAAACAGGGTTTTGTATAGAGTATGTTTGTATGTGGCATTGGCATTTGAATTGAATTAACCCCTTAAGACCGGAGGGCGTACTATTACGCCCTATTTTAGGCGGCTCTAAACGCCCTCGGGTCTTTCTTTACTTACCCGGTCGCTGGTGGTCCCACGCCGGTGATCGCGGTTGGGGGGACTCCCAGGGAGCCCCCTGCGGCACGTCCAACCTCCTGCAGCCCCCCCGGCCATGTGAGAGTGAGGTCCTTGCGAGGACCTCACAATCACATGGCCAGGATAGCTGGCTGCTGTATTGCCAGAAGGGGGGCTGCCTGTAATGACAAGTAGTCCCCCTGCTGGCTGGAAATAAATTAAAATAAAAGTTAAAAAGTGTAAAAAAAAATAAAAAAATATATATATATATATATATATATATATATATATATATATATGATCTAATATATATACATATACATACACACACATACACTGTCTAGGTGTATATATATATATATATATATATATATATATATATATATATATATATATACATATATATACATATACATACAAACACATACACTGTCTAGGTGTATTTTACTATTAATATATATATATATATATAATTATATATATTAATATCAAATTACACGTAGACTGATATTGATTAAATATATATAATTATTGTTATATATATTTGTAGATGCGAATATCCATTTTGCTCTATATCCTAACTGTTCATGTAAGGGTTAATTTGAATCAAGAATAGATTTGGAATTGTATCTCCAATTCTCAGAAATGTTATTGAAACTTTGTTATGTTCCTGGAAAATGATATTTACATGACATGACATGACATGACACGACATGACATGACATGACATGGATTCTGGAATGACCTTGTTAATTGTCCAAGATTTCTGTATTTGTAATCATCTGGGTTTTATCCAATATGCATACATTATGTAACATCGGATTATAACTAAAAACAGCTGTTTATAACTTGTGAAAAACAATGTCATTGTCACGCCCATATGGTCATTTTTCCCCCTCCCATCCTGCTATGAAAATGGGTTATAAATATAACTGACGTATGAATACAATTTGAATTGGTTATTGAACACGTCTCTGCTATTCATTTCCAATTTCCAGAGCTCTGTATGAGTTGGCAAATATCCATCATCCACAAAGGGCCCAGGCTGATTGTATCCCCAACAAATTGGTGTCAGAAGTGGGATGTATGATTGTTTATATGATGAGCCCTTTATTTTCATATTGGGACAAAAAGTCACTTCATTCAAAACGTCAAACACCACATTCTTTCTGCCCTGTGTGTTTGTTGCAGAGAATTTATGTTGTAAATTTAGAAGATTATAAATTAGAGAGCAAAATGTATATTTTCAGCGTTCCAACACATGCTTCATATTGTGCTGTAAGCTAACTTGTAGTATTCCAGTATGTCACATGTTGTATGTGCTTTAAATTGTATGTATTCTGTAAATTGTTGTATGGGAATGCTGAGATTTTATTGCTTGCGACCCAAACTGTGAAGAAGTGGGTTTGAAATTTTGGTCATGGAATGTAGGATCAGAAAACCATGGACAAAGGTTTTAACCTGTGTTGATATGACTTTTGGAAACTCAAATTGACCGGTCAAAGTTTTGCCATGCCTTTAACATGGAGTAGTATAAATATTTTGAGTCTTTGAGAGTTCTGACAAATGCAGGTGATACCATGTCTGTGTAATCTGGTCCAAATGTTCTATAAGCGTATAAGAGAGAAATTCTATTGACAGGGTACATATGTTGCAACTGGTTAATGCAAGTGTTATACAAATGTTTAAGTCAAACGCGTTATATGGCCGTACGGATCCCTTCTTTAAAAAGAAAAAATAAACCCTTTGGTACCAGAAATCTTAAATAAATCCAATACAAACTAAAATTGGTATACCTTACAATAATATGTTCTGAATACAGCTGTTAGAAGTTTATTCTGTGTGAATGATGATTGTCATAAATGTTTGTTTTGGGTACTCATTTTGAAGTGCGCAGTTTAATTGTCATGTATGTTAATGGGTATTTTACTGTGTTATTTTAAATTATATTTGAATAAGTTTGAGTATCAGTATTGATACAAATGAAAATGGCAGCGTAATAATCTATTAAATAACTGATTTATTATTGAATACTTGTCCAAGAGCAATATGAGTTGTAGTCTTAAGAAAGAAAAAAAGAGGGAGTCTGTTTTTGTAAATTTTAGCTGATTTCCAAAATTCTGTTGCAATAATGGACTTCCTGCCAAAATTTGACTTTCTTGTCCAGTTGCCAGGTGCTCTGATCTAATCTTAAAGCAGTACTGCTTGCATAGTTTGCAGACATGCATAATGCACAAATATGAGAACCAAATTATGTCCGTCACATAGTGTGACATTTATTAATTTATTTTGGATTGAGTTAATTACCTGTCCAAGAATATGCTTTTTGTATTGGCATTTCTGCTGGATATCTGCTACATGTTTTCTGTGCTATAAGATGATGTGTGATATTACAATGAGTATGAAGAATATTTAAAGAATATTTGCATGTCATTAACGCAAGCCTTTAGTGTCTTTTTACAACAGATTTAAAAAAACGCTGATCAGCCAACAAGAAAGGGGCCCCTGGGAAAGAAAAAGAATAAATATATAATTTGCTTTTCAAAATCGTGGATCCACGTTTCAGTATTATTAGGGGAGTATTTAGAGTTAACGCTACTTTTAAAGTGCATTGCATTATTTAAGAAAAGAAAAATGTGTTATGTTATATGGTTATATAACAAGAAAAATTATGGATGTATAGGATAGGTTTTTTCCAAGATTAAGATTCATCTAGTATGCCTCATTGATTATAGGAAAATGATGAAATGGTATTTTTAATAGAGATCAGATAATTTCTTTTGAGGCAATTCTAAACTACTGTATTATATTTGTATTGGTATATTGAAAGCATTTTGCAGACCCAGAAGAGAATAAATAATATAATAATTATAAAAGGAACCATACTATGGGAAGAGGTCACTCTATTAAATTGCTAAGGGGTTAAACTCATTTTTGATAAGCATATGAAATTTAGTTTTTGTGGTTAGAATTTTTGATACTCAATTTGAACTCAATTGAAGTATTAAAACCATATCCTTGCAGGTATAGCAATATGATTTTAATATTTGCAATATATTAGTGTTCTGACAATGGAAAAGTTCCTAACCGCATGTCTGTATTACACCTATGACACAGACTGTCAGTATTGCAAACCCCATATGAAGACTCTGCTTTCACTGTTTATGTATACACCCCTAGACAACCGTGCTATACATGCACAATAAATCTTCAAAAGCCTATTAATATTATATCTGTGTGGTACACAAATAGGTGTACCCAAAGAGGGGGTGTGAGTTAAGTCATCTCGACCTTCATATGGAATATGTTTAAGTGGGGTAACTGTATGGAGGTTCCAACATGTATTAAAACATGATCACACACATCGGGATCTATAAAAGGTTTCGGTTTCCAAAGATGTTATCAGGGTCCACAAAATTTTATTAAAGTAATTAATTGAGATTATCAAATCAAGGTTTAAGTTTAAGAACAGCATTTTATTGGGAATTATACCAATATGTATATGTTAGTGTTTTAGTACTCAACAAGCATTTATATAGAATGAGTGCTCATCCATACAAGGCATTTTAAAGGGAAATTATGTATTAAAATTTTATAAAGGACATAAACAGAACTGAGAGACGTACATGTTACACTAGTTAAGAGTTTAACTTTAGTCTCTAATTTGAGTTTAGCCTAGATAATTAATTTATTGATGTCGTACTGATCCTTGTGTTTGTATGATTATAGAGACCGTACTGGAGTATTTGTGCTGCCTGATATTTGGGACTACACACCAATCTCTCTGGCTGACCTACCTGCCTACTTACCTTTTTTGCAATTAAATCTGTTTGGTCAAAATCCATGCTGGCCGAAGAAACTGAGATGCTTACTTATGAGGACATAAACTAACTTGGAAAGTTCTGAAGGTGCAGTGCTGTCTAATGCCGCTATTTCTGTATTACCCTTTCAACAATTGGGGTGTTGCACAGAGTATTGTGGTGAACATCCAGCAAACAGAAGAATTAAGAACTATGTGGAAGCTGACATTGTCTTGTTGTCAGCCATATTGCTACACTTAGCTATGTTATGGTGTCTAAGATTATGGAACAAAGTTTATGGTGTCTAAGATTCTTTATACTCCTTGAAAGACTTATAATATTTTTCTGGACTATGCTGGACTATTGAACTATTTTGTTATTTTTATTTTTGTAGAGTTAGCCGGAGAGAGAGGAAGTGTTAGCTTACTCAGGCATGGATGTACTATGTGTGTCATTGATGTATGTTGAGTGTACCAAGGATGGATTCCAAGGTATTAAGTGTGGATATGACTGGACTATCGAAATAGGGATTTGATTAGGAGGCATAGGACGCAAGGTAATGATTGGGATTATTGCTAGAATTGCAAACTGATTAGAAATGATCTTATGATTTAATATGTAAGTGGGCCTTTTCAAACTAATCAAGAAGTGTTTCCCAATCCCGATACCTGAGCTATTTACTTACATAGTGCAGGTTTTATAAGTCACTAATGCTGTCAACGTGAGGGGATGACATGTTTACACAGTCATGGCCCTCACTTAGAATTTACCCAGATGTGCTTTTTTTCTCAATTATGAGTTTTTGCCACTGGGATTTTTGACCTGGCCCAAGTTCACTGGGTGGACTGGTAATCCAAGACGCTGGTCCAAAGAGGGGAAATAGATTTTATTCCCATTTTTGATTATAGGTGTTTACATTGTGAATTATAATAATAATATTCCCGTTGTTGGGAATAATACACTTTGCCTGTTTTGATCCAAGGCTCAAGTTGCAGATAACATGATGTGCAGTTAAGATGTCAGCTGTTTGAAATATTTAACTTGTACACTTAAAAGATGTGTACAACAGATGATTACAGAAGCTGAAAATCGACAGCTGGATCTCCTCTTAAAGGGAAAACCTACGGCATAGAGCAAATGGGGGAAATCGAGGTGAAGAAATAAGGAAAGTCCCGCAGACGTGATTAGCACGTCTGAATATACCTCCTTTCGTTTCTCTGCCGCAGGCCTCCCATGAATATTCCATAAGGTAGATCATGATATGATCTAAGAGGGGAATTGTAGATGCGAATATCCATTTTGCTCTATATCCTAACTGTTCATGTAAGGGTTAATTTGAATCAAGAATAAATTTGGAATTGTATCTCCAATTCTCAGAAATGTTATTGAAACATGATTTTGTTATGTTCCTGGAAAAAAGATATTTGCATGACATGACATGACATGACATGACATGACATGGCATGACACGACATGACATGACATGACATGATAAGGATTCTGGAATGACCTTGTTAATTGTCCAAGATTTCTGTATTTGTAATCATCTGGGTTTTATCCAATATGCATACATTATGTAACATTGAATTATAACTAAAAACAGCTGTTTATAACTTGTGAAAAACAATGTCATTGTCACGCCCATATGGTCATTTTTCCCCCTCCCATCCTGCTATGAAAATGGGTTATAAATATAACTGACGTATGAATACAATTTGAATTGGTTATTGAACACGTCTCTGCTATTCATTTCCAATTTCCAGAGCTCTGTATGAGTTGGCAAATATCCATCATCCACAAAGGGCCAGGCTGATTTTATCCCCAACACCCAAGAACATATACTCAGCACTGGTCCAGTGGGCCTACGGAGCATCTGTCCAGAACCCTCATGAACTCTTTTGATCAATAAATACTCTGAAGTACCAGGAATTGCCTCTCTGACCAACAGTTACTGTAAATCTTGTGCCATTTGTGCCAAGGGCAACTCAGGAAGAATGGAGGAAAGCCCCAAGCATCTAGCCAAACCTCATTATCTCTTCCAGAGGAGTCAAGTCGACTACATCCAGAATGCCAAAGAATGGCTGATTCAAATATGCACTAATTATAGCAGACATGTTTTCAGGATGGCCAGAGGCCTATCCAGCCACCAAAGTGATAACCAAGACCACATGCTGAGTAGTGCACCGTGAAAGTTACAGAGATCACCCCGTGGATTCATCATTCCAGAATCAAGCCTGCCTCTGCATCATGTGAAGTAACATTTGTTGATCTTGACAACCCTTTTTGAAACTCCATTCTTAGACAACAAAGATACTTGTTGAAAATAAATAAATAAATAAATATCAACAAGTGGGTGTTTTGATGGCCATAATAATGCCTGACCACCTGCCATCGATGGAAAGCCAAATACCCCAAAAGGGGACCTCGTGAAACTAAAGAGAAACAAACATACTCCTTACCCTGCAGCCCTCACGTCTGAGGTGCCATACGCACAGTCAATGCTTCTTCAGGATCATCTGCTTATCTTGAGTTTGTGGTGATATTAATATTGAATGTTTAAATGATCTGAATCTGCCAATACTAGGGAGCATGAGACAAGATTTCTAAGAATAAGTAAATGTGCCCTAGCCTAGGTTATTATGTCCATACACATAACACATGACAATCCCCAAGGTACTCTTGACACGCCTCATTCATGCTTCAGGACAAAAAGGAGTACCCCTATAAAGGGTGGTTTTACCCACACATATATATATATGTATATTAATGCCATAGGGGTGTCAAGGGGGGTACCAAATGATTTTAAGGTAAGAAACTAAGTTTGAATCTATTCTCCCAAGCATTACGGCTAATAAAATCTGAATTGGAAGGGAAGAGGTTTTATACAATAAACAGGACATTATGACTCAGCTGAATGGGTAGGTGCCCTCAAACCACACATTAGGACTCTAAAAGACATGGTAGTCATCCCATATTTGAGGATACTAGGGCTGTAGAGACAGGTTTCTCTGGCACTAACTTGTGACTTGAATGGATGAAATACAATGCTACTAAACATAACAAGTCTAACTGCTATGTCTGCGGAGGAGCGAGGCCTCACCCAGGTACAGTATCCCTGAACCTTCCTCCGGATATGAAGTATGCGTTTTAAGTCTCTACACTGTATTTAAACCTAAGTGGTCAGCATGCGAGTCATGGAAACTTAATACCCAATCATTACTAAAAATATTATGCCCAGACGAAGGCATTACTATATATCCCGGGAACTATACTTGTTATGGGATATATGGTGGGATAGGGCGGTTACAAACTACCTCTCAGATGACCTTCCAGAATAGAATAAGCTTGGAAATGAGTTTGGCAGAAAAAGGGAGAGTATGTAAAATACTCCC